GCACGCACGCGCGCGCACAGACACACACACACACACACACACACACACACACACAACATACACACACCCGCACGCACGCACGCACGCACGCACTAGATTTACCTGAGAGTCATCATACTGAGCAATCACGTCTGCGGTCACCATGACAACCAGTACGACGTAATCTCCCGTAGTCTCGTGCTGCCGAGCCGCTCTCACGGCGAAATCGGCTATCACCATATCAAAGACTTCAACCGATCGCATGATATTGACTCCACCGATGAACTCTCTATACAGAATCCCGGCCTCGGTAGATCCTGTACACGGTACGAATCAATGTACATGACTGTGTAAATTACAGACACTGACCGCCTCTACGGGGCACGGGTTGACCATGCTGATTGAACTAGGTTATCGTTCAATGCTATTACCTCAGAAGCTCTAATTAGATCTACCAGAAGGATTAATTTATTTACACTTATGGACTGTAACGTTGATAAAACTGAAAGATGAACGCGATGGGTTACAGTAGAACACGTTTGCATTCTGTTACTAACTAATGCAAACTTATTAATAATTACTTAAATAAATAAATAAATAAGTAAATGAATAAATAAATAAATAATTAGATAAATAAATAAATAATTAATTTTATATATTAATTATCTGTATAGGCATTTCAGCCCCCCCCTAAATATGTAGTTGATGTTTGCTTGCATACCCGTGCATGAGTCTTCGGACGCATTGGCAAGATTAAGCGAGAAGGAGCGAGCCGATGGAAGCAAAGGATGTGAGGCACCGAATCCCCGGATGTAGAATAGATCATCGTCTGTGAAGGCTGCAATAACGAAAGGAAATTCGTATACGCGAGGTAATAGGCACGCAATTACTTCTAAATGCGATCCATTTACTGAGAAGTCAAGCGCGCTCCATCAAAGCACTATAGCTGCTAGATTTGATTGCCTTACTCTACTGCGTGCGGATTAGTCTGAAAGCACTATATAAGTAAGTAGACTGAGACTGAGCTTGCTAGCTACATGAATTGCTTCATATACGGTATGATAATTGGTTATTCGGCGACAAACACGATTACCAGTTAGCCATTTCTATTATTTTGCTTTGTATGGCTAGTGTTAGTCGTAAGAAATATCACGAGTGATATTATCATTCACTCCTGGTAATAATTATTATATCGTCGTAATATAACGATTTCGTACGTAATATAACGTTGTAATGTAACGATAGTGCGGGTTGGAGATTGAGATATATGTCAGGTCAGGGGCAACCGTACAGTTGGGTAATTAACCGTGTCTCTAAACCTAACTGCTTCATATGCTCCATCACTATATATGCTGATTGATGCGGTTTCTCTCCTGACCACCATGCATACTGTTCGCGGTATTACGTATACACACACACTTACGCACACGCACACTCACACGCGCACACGCACACGCACACACACGGACACGCACACGCGCACGCACGCACACGCGCATATATATATGAATGTAGAAAAATAGAATAGGGTGTTAAATTTTAATATATATTTTTTTATATATAATACAATAATAAAATAAATTTTAAATATAATATATAAATTGTAACATATATATATATATATATATATATATATATATATATATATATATATATA